AGAGTTGTCCAGGAGACACTGTTGCAGCTGGGAAAGGACGTTCTACTACATATAGCGTACTCATCAGATATAGCACGTCCTGATTATCACTTGTTCAAATCGATGCAGTATGATTCGGCTGACACGCTCGTCCGCAAAGTTGAAGAAGAGCGAAAATAAATCGGTGAGTGGATTGGTGCCAAACCAATATAAATTCTTTCGACATGACAATGCCATGTTGCCAAAAATATTGTAAATTGTTGTAAGAAAAGATATAAACTCTTTTGGTTAATATACATATTGTGTTAATTTTCCACAATAAATTCTTTTTACAAATAAAAAATCCGCCTGAGTGGCCGAGTAGGCAAGAGTCTCGACTTTCAACTCAATGGCCGTGGGTTCAAATTTTAAGTGCAGTAGAGTTTTCAATAAAGCCGAGAGACTTAGATGCTAGGGATTTAAGAATTTAGTCTTAGAATTTATTCTCTGGCTAAAATTATAATAATAATAATAATAATAATAATATAAATAAAAAATTGATTAGGATTTTTGCAAACACCTAATATTAAAAATCTCAACATATTGCAATAAATTTCTGTAGAAATTCATTGCCTACTTTTAGGCTGACAATAAATGTCATATTAGAGCATAAAATTTGTCTTGGAAAAAATAAAAATACATAGCAAACACGACGATGGAAAAGTAGAAAATCATTTAAAGGAAAAATAACTTCTTTTTTTTTTTGACAGATTTTTCACCCTTTCAAGGAAATTTCATATCATTATACGTGCTATTAGAATATAAAAACTACATGTCACTTACATCTATCGGCTCAATCAGATCAATGTCATGTCTCCTTAAAAAAAAAAAAACAAGAATATCTTTTTACTGTCGCAAACACTGAAACGATTGTATGCTATGTGAAAACAAGAATAAAAAAAACGTAATTTTATATAAGTCTTGTGGGGGTGTGAATATGTTAAGATATATCGCCACATGTGCCTTTTTCTCTGTCCCTGTCTCTCTGTAGGCTTCCAGTTTGTTACAAAATTCTAATTTGAATAAAACTTTTTGCCGCGTAGGATGATTGCAATGTATGCTACGTGGGAGGAATGACGTATATCTATGTTTTGGAATTTAACGTCATCTATGGCGTCATCATAAGCAAATGAAAGCCTACAACAAGTGGTGGTTTTCAAGGCAAACAATTCAAACCGTGTGTGGGTGTAAGCAGAAGTGAACAAGTGTGGTGTGCTTATGTTAACCATAATGTTGTTTCTTTCTTTTTCAACGTATGAAAGATGTTGCACTCAAACGGTTTTTGAATAAAAATGAATTTATAAGAAAATCGTATTTAATAGTAAAACAAATCGAATTGCTTACCGTAAAGAATTAAATTATATAAAAAGCTATGAAAAATATTTTTTATTCTTATAATTCGTACCGCTTGCGACGCAAGTGTATATTATGTTTATACCGATGTATCCAATGATTTGAGGGAGATTCAAACTTTTCTTATATCGATCGATTTAGAATCGCTTTCTCCATCGATTTAACTTTTCCATCCGTTTGTCCGTCTTTTTGTCTTGTGCTCAACCTAAAGTACGCAAATTTTTGAAATATTTTGATAAATTTGTCTGTCCGACCTTCTTATGTATTCTTATGTTCAGCCGATCGGTCATAATTTTTGAGATAGTTTGATGAAGTTTATTACAGCGACATGGTTTCGACCCAGGATGAACCTTTGTCTGTCCGGCTGTCCTTCTGTCTGTGTCGTCACTAGGCCGTAATTTTTAAGATATTTTGATAAAGTTTGGTAAAACGAAGTGATATGACCCGAGAATGAACATTATTAAAAATAGATCTGATCGGACCACTTTTTCTGCAACTTCCGACACAACGCCTTACTATGAAAAATCGTTAAATGAATAACTATAGAGTGTTGTAAGATGTTTAATAGCAGGCAGTATCCCACTGTAGTGTTTTTACTTGCTTTGTCTAGATAAGTACAATATTTCGGTTTAAATGCTAACTATGGCAGGAGTATGGAAAACCTTTCATTGACGTGCATAAGAAGAAAACCTAAATTTTGGCTAATGAGAAAACATCAAGGACAAATCTACGTTTCTCTGCCGCTGAGAGACCTAATAACACCAATCTATTTTTAGGAGGAGGCGAAGCGATAAGCGAATCCCAACCCAAATTCCTAAGGGCAAGGAGCAGGAATTGCTTTTGTGTGGCTTCTATTAGATCTGTAGGGAGGGGTTGACATAACACTTGCGTATTTAGGTATTGCTCTCACCAAACTTATCTGTAGTCTCCAGGTAGTCGAACTTTCTGGACAACTGTTTAATCAAACCTATTGATGATCTGACTTTATTTATAAAGAGCTCAATATACAAATTCAAATGTAATATTTGGTCGAAGATGAAAACGTAAAAGTCATTGGAAAAAAACTCATAAAATCCAAAATCTGAGTCTAAATTAAATTGAAGGATCGATAAATAAGAAAATCTGTTTCTATATATTTCGAATACCACTCCTATTGGACCTGTCAATGCGAGAGTAAGAAATATGAGTTTTTCACGTCGTGGACTCGCATATCGGTATCAATACAGATACTACTACTAGTGATTTATATTAGCCTTTAAATAGGGATCGATTCGGGCTATCTGCTGCATATGCTTCCGACATGTAGTGTGAAAGAAAAATCTTGACCTTAATTTTTTCTTTCTTTTTTTTCTATTACAAATTTCCCGCGGTAAATTAACCCCTTAAGTCCATCCATAATCACTAAAATTTTAACAATGTCTCTCATTTCCAAAATTAAATTTGATTTTGATTTTTTTAATTTTTGTATGCAAAAAAAATCCGGCACCATGTACAAAAATCAGCCAAATCTCAGACAATCATTCAACGAATTAGGACATAGGAGTTGGACTTAAACTACAAAAAAAAAGTTTTCAAAAAATTATACGTTCGATGCATGAATCTTTCTAGATCTCGCGGTCAAACCAAATATAAATCCTGTTTTGTTTGTTTTATACTCATTACCGTCACCGGCCAGGTCCAGGTATACTAATAGATCATTATCAAATTCTGCATCGACCCAGACAGTTGGACTAGAAATTCTTACTTGGCCAAATTGGTCAAGCAACACGGCTACCTGCTACCATCTCTGTAATAAAATAAGCAAAATCTTTGATTTGCTTATATATACAACAATAAAAAATTTGCATTTGTAGTCTATATATAGTCCAGCAAAATCTCTACAAAAATAGAAGAAATTTGCTGAGCTCACTCAATATTGTAAAATATTGAAAATTGTTTTTTTCACCCAGAAAAAACTTCAGAGACCATATTATTGCTTAGTATCATAACTGAACCGAAATTTTTGTCAGTCCATTTGTCCCTCTATGGTAAAGGTGTCAGCGATCGGAAACGTAGAGAAATCTCTTTCATTTTACGCAAAAGCACTGCAAGTCATTGGATGGATATTCATGGACCTTAAAAATGGACCAAATCGGTAAAAGGGTGCGCCAGGTTCAGTGCAATCCAAAGACCATTTACCTGTTGGATACATCTCGGTTTTCGAAGCTATTTACCCATAAACTATACGAGACACAACACAGACATACATTTCCAATTTTATTCTACAAAATATAGTTATATCATTTCTTTTTTTTTCTTTTTGTAGTCTATTTTAGGTCGCGGCGAAATATAATTTGCTTATTTGTTTTAATTATCTGTGAATTGTCACCTTTCACCCACCTTTCAGCTATATTTGGCTTAATAAAGTGAACGCTATCAAAACTACCCCATTCTAAAATCATCTATGGGAAAAAATGCTACTAAATTTTTTGCTTGATCTAATATTTATATACATAATTGATATAATTGATATACATATATGTATATATATAAGTCTGTCTTAATTTATATCTATATACTACTTATATGCACATGTATGTACATGCAAGGTGCATGTGTGCATGTTTTTATATATGTGCATATGTACAAATATATATAATAAAAGAAGTGCTGTCTATATAATAATAGCACGAAAACACCCAACCGGCATATTATGCAAACATATAAACGCACTTAGATAACGTAAATAAATGCAAACACATAACAAAATGCAACCACAAATCTAATGGATTTGCCCTATATTCGCTGCCAGAACACAAGTGGAATGTGATTTATAATACAGCGCATACATACACATAAATTCATATATATACATGCACATAACTCATCATCACACGATATCTGAGAAGTGTGTAACAAGAATAGAAACATCAGAAAAAAAGCAAAATTATATTTATATATATATATATATATATATGCATTATAATGTTATTTATAATAACTTAAATATAGGCCACTCATATATACTTAGTTGAATCGTTAAATGGTGCACTACAATTACGCGCAATTAGAGAATAGCATACCCTATGGTCAGTAATACAATAACGAATGCGTTGAAAAAACATAATAACAGTAAGAAGAAGAATTACAATTAAAATAAAACATGCAAAGAATCAATTTTCGCCTATGAGTGCGAACTATGATGACTAAAAAGTTCTCTTTCCAAGAATATTTATACATTCTAGAGATCCCTCAAGGCGTCTAACTGAGACTAACAAGTTCAAAAGATTTGCTTTCATAGACTAGAACTATAGTAGACCTTCCTACAAAACGGTAGACAAGTATGTATAGTGCGTGTTATTTAGATTATATAAATACCGTTATTATGGCTATTAAACAATAAATGTTCACATAATCATTGGCGTGTTTCTTACCTATTTTTTTTTTTAGGGACTTAATCGTTGCATTAGTTATCGGAGCTAAAGCGTAATAAAATCGTATCGTCTGTCTCATTGTTTTATTGTGTTATATAAGCCTTTTTTTGGCCAATTTACACGAACACGGTCACAATTTTTTAGCCATGTCCTATAAACCCATCTTAAATGAGTTTGTCTTATACGACTGCCACTGCAATACTTACGACGGTTTACTTCATTTCTCTCTCAGCATTGAACTTTACTTTATTGATAGTATGTAGAAATAGATAGATAGATAGTTGGAACTCAAATTGGGTATTACGTGGAACTCTACAGTTATTGCGATTGTGTTCAATAAGTAAGACCAATTTGATTTAATCCATTTTCTATTTCATCGCCTTCAATGTAACTCCCCTTAGATTCGATACGCTTATACCAACAGTTTTTTCAATTCTCGAAACAGTTCGTTGTAATCGATTTCCGGAATGATATTCAAAGCTTTTTTGCGACTCAGCTGAACCAAAACGTTATCTCCGGAATAGTCTTTTGAGTTAAAGGAAGTAGCCAGAAATCATAAACGCCTCACATCAGATGATTACGATGGTTGTGGAACGATATAAATTTTTAACTGAATGGTCTCGAAGAACCAATGCAGAAATTGACTGTTTTTGGTATTAATCAAGATTTGACGCCTTTCAGGCCCAAAATATCTTTTTTCATACCCATTACCGAAGGATGATGGCTGCATTCATTGCATCGAACCGTTTGCAACGTCTGGGAAAAAGCATCAGAGACCACACCAGTTATCTATACATTCTTGACCAGGATCAAATCCTGATTGACTTAAGCACGTCTGTCCGTCCGTGTAATGTCTGTTGTAAACATTCTTCTCTGTCATAGATCGAATATAATTTTCTTACTTGTTTATATACATAACACATCACTCATCATTATATATAACACAACACCCAATAAGTCTCCGGTCTGACATACCTATGTCAACATTGTCAACAGTCCCATATGATAATATGGATACCTATTACTATTAGCTATGTACCTTAGAATTTGTATATATTCCTTATTAACATGCATAGCGAAACGATTTAGGATTATCAATGGATATGCTTGACTACATATCGCCTGTCCACGATTTCAAATCGCAATTTGATTTTTCAATTTTTTTCTTTACGTTCAGAAATTAGTTTCGTCGGGAGATGAATGGACCTATTTTTGCTTAAAAACGTCCTAATTTCCACTTTATCTTTGCCACTTCCCTCACTTCTATCCGGCCGTCTTCCTATTACACAAACAAGTGATAAGGGCTAATATAAGTAGAGCTAATGTCAGACCGATCTTTAGCTTAAACCGGACACAATTTGCTCGCACATAGCTGTGCAGCTATTAAATGCCAAATGTGTTTAAGTGTATGTGTTCGTTTATTATGGCATAAAATGAGCGATTTAAGAAGAAGAAAAATTGGTGAGGAACACTAAGTTTTTAATAATAATTTGATCTCCCGCCTGTTGAAAAAGGCCCAATCCTGGTTTAGACAACTGTGTGCAAAGTGCTGCCAAACCATTAAAAAAAATTTTTGAAATACAAGCGATAGGCTATCGAAGGATTCAGTAAATGGTCAGTCAATCAAACATTACGTAATAGCTTTTGATTGACCCAAGCAAAATATGAATTGTTTCTGTTTTGATATCCCACAACACTTCGTACGCCAAGCTTATTAAGTTTATGCAGATGTATGTAACACTCTTGGAAAGTCTGAAAATAAATCGAGCTTTTATTATACCGATCGATTCAGAATCACTTTCTGATTTGATATAAATGTGTCTGTCCGTCTGTCAATTTTATTTTCTTGTGTTCAACCTAAAAGCTGTAATTTCTCAGATATCGTAAATGTGTGACGTGTTTTGTCCCAAAGTTGAACGCTGTTGAAAATGATTCGGATCATCCCACTTGCAGTACACAGGTCTATTAAGGTCATGCCTATGTATGCGACACCCGGAAAGACTTGACATAGACCTACCTCCTATTATACTAATCGATTTACAATCACTTTCTAATTTGATCTATGCGTGTCTGTCCGACCGTCCTTTTTAATTTCAGCTTAAAGGTCATAATTTTTGACATATTTTGATGAAATTTGATGCACTGCCCTACTTTCTGCCACAGATGAACTGTATTGAAGTTGGTTCGAATCAGACCACTTCTCATGTTTTGAATAGCCGTTATATGAATGAATAAATGTAAAATGGCATTTTTGCTTGTTTTTAATATGGATTTAATAATTTGTCTACTGGAAAGCAAGTTGAGAATATTGTGAAATTTTCAAAATTAACAGTACGTATGAAAAGAAACATATCATTACTTAACGTTCGATTTTTAAAAAAAATATTTTCCCCTTTCACTGACATAAGAAGATGATGATTGTACAAAGGCTTAGTTAAATCTAAATTCAAATTTGCGCAACAAAAATAATATAATTCTTTTGTTGTTGTTGTTGTTGTTGTTGTTGTTGTTAAGATCTTAATATTTATTTCTATATGTCTTACAAAAGCAATGGCAAAGTACATTATTGTATGGCATTCTCTCTGGTGATGGGTATACAAAAATGTACATAATTTAAAATACACTACTACGTGACATTGATGCAATTGAATATAAAAATGTTTTAAAACAATTATAATAGAAATGCTCGTATTGTCTTGCCTTTGCTTGCTTTATATTTATTTATTTATTTCTTTTTTTTTTTTTCATTCTGTTTTCTTTTGATTATTTCTTTTTCAATTAAATGCAATCAAAATCTATATAAAACAGATTTATGGGTGTGTACGTCTCTCTGTCTCAACACTGTATGTATGCAGATGCGTTTGCATGTTTATCATTTTAAATATAATAAAATAAAAAATAACAAACAAAAAAAAAAAAGTTGAAACTGTACCAGATGTGAAGAGTTTGCCAAAATGCATATTGGCGTGCAACATAACTGTTGTTTTTATTAAGTTGTTATGCACACTTTTAAACAAACACGCATATACTCTATACTATATATATACCTATAAGATGTATATATAAAATATATACATATATGTATATATATGTATATATATGTATATATATATACATATGCACTTACTTGCATACTATATATACGAGCATATATAGTGCCTTGTACTACATACTTTAACTGTAAATACGCTTGACCTGGTTTACTTTTCAAAGCTATTTACTATATAACAGTAAATTCATCGTGCATATATATATATAAATATATATATATATATACATATGTGTGTGTGTATATAATATATTTTGCACATAAGCTTATATGCATCAACGGGTATATGCAGCATGTGTACATAGAATATGTATATGTGTATGGATAGATGACCCAGTTTGTGTGAGCATAAACTGCATTTTGGGGTTGTTATGCGAAACAAACACAGTCTCATAGACATATACTACATAAATACTTATGGTATGTATGACATACACAAATAACCTCAAATATAACATCTATAAAACACGTATATATGTGTACGTATTTGTGGGTATATCAAATGGAATTGCAAAATGAATGGAAGCGTTCGCTTTGATGTTCTGAGCAAGGTCAGTCCAAGTGCTTTTTTTTTTGGTTTGTTTGTTTTTATTTTATTTTATTCATGTATAATTTATGCTATTTAATGAAGCAAAAAAAAAAAAAAACACGCACACACACACACACACACGCAAACACTCGCATACACACATACAAGACATTGTCTTCTCTGAATAGATACAAATCGTAATTTGTGTTTGTTTAAGTAAAATATGAAATTTTTAAAGAGAGAGAAAGAGAACGAGAAAAAGAAAGAGAGAGGGAGAGAAAAAAACTTACTGTTGATATAAAAAATGAATAAAAGCAAAATAAAGGCAAAAAGCAAATAATGGAGTAATGAATTAATTCTATTACAAAATGTTTTCTTCTTTTGTTATTATTATTATCATTATCATAATTTATTTAAACCAAAGAATTAAAATTCTAAACCTAAAAGTAGAATGCACACTAAGTAATACGTAAATTTATTTGAATATATATAAAAACGAACTCTTAATGTAACACAAATTATAACATAACTTACGGGTTTTTATAAAAATGAAATATCATTGCGTAAGTTAAACTGAAAGGGAAATATTATCGAAAGTTGTAAAGTTTTAATTAAACCTTTTATTCATAAAATTTTACTTTTAAATTTATTTACATAAAATAAAAAAGAATTTCGTAAAAATTTTCTTACATCAACTGCCGATGGATAAGAGTAAACATAAAATTTTTGTCACAACTTTTTTAATAGACGAAAATTTTTATATACTCACATATACAAATATACACTTATATCGTTGTTAAATATAAAACTTCAAATATTAAGTCAGTTCGACTTTCGAGACCTTACATGATCTGAGTTTAAACCGACCTAAGCCAGTTTATCTTTAATTAATTTTTATATTTTAGCGTGAAGGGAATATATATATACACATTCATATGTATATACAAATCATATGCATATATGCCTATATGTATATGTGTTTGTGTGTGGATATATACATATATATACATATATCCTCCCCGCATCCAAGCACACACACACACGCCCACACACACAAACAAATAAATATATATTTGTATATATATTTATCTATATATACCTATTACATATATATACACATATGTGCATACGTATAGATATATATACATACATAAATACATGCGTACATATATATATATATATATATATAGATAGTCATTAATATTAGTTTCCAAAATATTTAAAAAGTAATACCACTATTATCGGCGGTGGTATCTTCTTTTCATAAGTGAAATTTAAAAAAAAATACAAAGGTTTATTAGAACTATCACTTGTAAAGTTACAAAAGTCTTTCGAATACTTTTATTCATATGAAATGACTTTTTAATACCGATCTTCATCGGAAGCACCCGAATGGTCGGTCCCAAAATCGACTCCACGACCGCAATTGAAGATGACATTTTCATTTCTTTCCATATGGATAGATCGCATTTTTGAACCTTGCTCGTATATGGGCCTGATGTGCGCCTACATTTCACTTTCTCCCGCAGTAAGCAATAATGACGTAAAATGTATATAATCACTTAATGGGTTAATTTTCAATTTAAATAGATATTGAAACGTTTGTGATTGCTTCGAGATTTAGCTTTTCATAGATATCACCAAAGGATAAAGTGTACATTGATTTTGTGAAACCGTTTGCAACGTTTAGAATGAAGCATCGGACCCCAAAAAGTATATATATACTTGACCAGCTTCAAATACTAAATCGATTTGAGCGTGCCCGTCTTTGCGTCTGTCTGTCTGCCCGCCTGTGTATCTGTCCGCCTGTGTAAAGCCTGTTGAAAACGTTCCCCTAGACACCAAGTTATTACATCAGTCTTCGCAAACGTTCATCATTATTACTTTGCTTACATATCCTGTTGAACCCGAGTCCCGAGTAAATCTTTCTTTCCTTTGTCTGATTTATAATATTTGTCTGGACAGAGAGAAAGAGAGAGAGAGAGAGAGAGAGAGAGATAGAAGCCGCGAATTTGGAATACTGAAACATTATATGTTCAACAGGTGTGTTTGTGTACTACTGTAGCATCTACGGCTCCTATATACTGAGATTACCCTCCACATACACGCTTCTTTTAATGGAATCTTAGTGGATTATCTTGTTGGCTAACACTTGCTCTTTTCACCACCCACTGCCTTTCCGATTCTCATTATTCGTAGTGCGGCTTTGTCTCAAAGTTGATCACGAAACTCCAGCCTTCGGGATGATAAGTCTTTCCCTTATATAAACCATGGCCTCCTCAACCAGGGCGCAATTCTTGGCAGCGGAATATTAATGCTCTCTCGCATCCCACGATTTCGGGCATATTAATAAGCTGTAGCGTTCGAACCTGAATAGATATCTTCGGAAGCAACCAAAGATTGTAACTTACCTCCCTATGAAGGCTTCCTGTCCACAATAACTCATTTGGAATCAGCTAGAACATCCGTACACTTTTCAACGCACTTATTTCTATGTCTGTGAGCACATGAGAAATACTTTGTATGAACGTGTGGGATATATATATATACGTATATATACATGCAGAGATACATGTAAAAGTCAACATAAATGTATTGATAGGATGCTTTAAGCTATCCATATCTCTGCACACCTGCTCTTGGAATGCAAACAGTCAAATTATTATGATAGGAAACTAAAATTTGCCACAGTTGGCCTTGATTCAATTCAAAACCAATCAAACTTGAAAATATGAAAGTTTTTCATTCAAAATTCCTAAAATACTGGGGCAAATAAATATCTGAACAATAAATAGAAATTTTAACGAACGCTAATCAATAATTTGTAACCTGTAGCAGTTATTGATTTGATATATGCTTCAAATGTATATCCATTCCAATGCACCAGCAAAGCTTTACTCTTGCCCAGCAATTAAAAAGGCAAAAAGAAAAACATAAACATATTGTTTCAAGCTGCACACAACCGTGATTGACTGACTCTCTTCTGTATCACTCTTAAATATATATATATGGATATCATTTTTTAACCTAAATCTTTCAATTTATTACAACAGAAAGCATACATAGAAATTATATAATTGACAATTTCATTTATAAAGAGTACATAAAAACTTGCACATATATATATATACATAAATGTATAAATGTATTTGTGTTTGCATAGATGGCCTTGTGTATCGGTAGATAAAATGTACATATATATATATATATATATATAAACACACAATAGCGTATATAAGTTTGTATTATGGGGAATTTTTCAAAGTTAACGTAAAACGGACAGAAGAATGGCAGTAAGTTTCACAAGAATTAGGTCAACGTGAATACAATGCAGCATAGTGTAGACATAAGCAAACAACAATAATAACAACAACAATCACAGTAAAAGCAAATTTCAACGGACTTCAGTCTTAAGAAACAGATAAAATTTTTTCAATTACGCTAAGAACTGATAGGAAACCTTTTGCTGCTAAAAAAGAAATTGTATTTGAAAATTTCTAAACGACCCAATTTCTTCTTTCATAAGTCTTAAAATATGCAAAAAAAACAAAAAAAAAAAAATAGAAAAAACTTTACTTCTGTTCCTTTTTACACCCTCCAGAACTTATTGTGCACAATAGTATTAAGTTTGCGCGGATGTATGCAACACAAGGAAGGGCTTGAAATGAACTCACACACATCTTCAGTATTACTTTATGAATCCCTACAAGTTTGTCCGTCCTTTCATCCGGTGTACCAGTTGCAATTTATGGAGATATTTTGATGCGAATTGGTACAACGACGTAATTTGGGCCAACGACAAACACTTGTCTGTCCATCTGTCCGTCTACTATTCTTACTCGTTTTAATGAAATTTGGTATAGCGAGGTGTTTTCGACCCAGAATGAACCCTTGTCTGGTCGTCTGTCCGCCATATACTTTTACGTTCAACCTGCTGGTCGTAATTTTTGAGATATTTTGATGAAATTTGGTACAGCGACGTGTTTTCGACCCAGGATGAACTCTTATCTGTCCGTTTTGCACGCTTGCGTCCATCTCACCAGGTCACCAGGTTTTTGAGATATTCCGATAAATTTTGATACAACGAAGTGATCTGAGCCAAGGATGAACGCTATTGAAAATGTTTCAGATTGGAACACTTTTTCGACTATTTTCCATGTAACGCCTGAATTTGGAAAAGTCGTTATATGAATAATTGTAACGTAGCGTAAAGCATTAAACGGTAGGCCGTGGGCCCACTACAATGTTTCTACTTGTTCAAAAATATTTTAATTAAAATATTATTTTGCTGTCAACTGAATTTCCTTCAAAGCTTTATTTAATTTTAAAAGCAAAACTTTATTTTTTTTTGTGTGTTGTATATCAAAGACTGAGGGTCCCACCTCACTTTAATTTCTTTAGTCAAGTTTATTATGTATGCACACTTGTTTGCCTCAATGTTATCGTTACTTTTGGAACAATTCCAAATTTTTCGAGGAACACTTCCTTACCTCGCACTTACTTCATTCATGCACAGCAGACATTTCTTTACTTAAATGCAATGTTTTTCTTCTTTTTTTTTTTTTGGTTTCTTTTTTTTTTTTTTTGCTTTCCTTCATTTACATCTGCTTCCTTATTGAAATAGAAAGTCGAAAGGTAGCCTAAAACGTTCCTATGAAAATTGCACAAGAAAATAAGACCATCAGCTGTTCATATAGGTTAGCATTGTCATTAAGAGAAACCGGTTCGCTTATTTTTTTTTTTGTTTTTTTTTTTTTTTTTGGTTTTGCTTTTAAAATCTAACCTATATTTTTTACTTTCTAATGTCGGTAAGATAAGAAATTGCATATTAAAATGGTTTATAGTTTGAACTAATTCAAAAAATAAAGCAGAAAATCAAAAAAAACTTGCATATTTCATGGCGTTTTTATGTTTTCATTTGCTTTTGAGCAAAGTTTCATAAATTGGTAGTTTCAGAAAGAAAAGAGAGAGAAAAAAACAAATAATAAGAAAAATATAAAGTAAAAATAATAAAAATAATAACAGCTTTTCATTTATGGATGAGCAGTAATAATCCCGCCACTTTGTGTGTATGAAACTTCCGCTTTGTTAGAGTTGAAATGTGTTTGCCAAAGTTGACCTAAATTTATGCTTTCATAATATTAAACATTAGCACCTAAGTGTAGACAACAAAGGGCTACGTTTTTACTTTTTTAATTTTTTTCTAGTAGTAGTTCGTTTGTCAGATAAAGTTCATAAAAAACCTGCAGCTATAAATAGTTAAAAAAAAAAATAAAAAAAAAAAAACTAAAAACCATTAGACTTTCAGTTACCGACACTTGTAAGTTTTTTTCCTTTTTTTTTTACTACGTAACATGTAGATCAGAAACATGTAAGTTAGCATTTACTTAATAGTCGTAAAGAGAAAACTAAATATATAGCAATCATGCTTTGACTTACCACGATTTTTGCTAATACCGCTTACTTAAAGCCATTGTTATATCATTTCAGGCAGAGCTCCATTCGTACACCAAATACATTAAACAATTTCCCCGAGCATAGACCGCTGCATGGGCTTAAAGCCCATGTTGTGTTAGTATAAATAGGGCTCAATTCTCAGTTTCTTATACACCAAAGATATTACAACGTTTCTGCTTACTTAAAGCCTATGTCTCATTAGCCGTAGTACAGCTCGATTCTTGTTTCTTTATACACCAAATTTGTTATAATGTCTCCGTTTACTTAGAGCTCGCGTCATGTTAAGCATAGCAGAGCTAATTTTCTTATAGGCCGTGAAACACCATCTATTTAACGCATAAATGTTACTGAAAGTAGAGCTCAACTTTAATTTCCTTATGTAACAAGGATATTATAACATCTCTCCACACTTAAACCGCAGCTTAGTTAAATTCTACTTTATGGTAAGCACAGTAGAGTTCCATTCTCATTTTCTCGTACACCAAATATATTATAACATCTTTGCACGCGCAGATCACTGCTTACTCAAAGCCAATGTCACGTTCATCACGGTAGAGCTCGATCCTCATTTTCTTATACACCAAGACATTACTACGTTTCACGTTACCCGTAGTACAGCTATTTTATCTTATTTTCTTATACACCAAATATATTACAACCTTTCTGCTTACTAAGGATCGATAGCCATGGTAGAACTCGATCCTCTATTTCTTACCCTCTATGTCTCTGCCTATTTAAAGCCCATGTCGTGTTAGATATAGCATAGCTGTATTCTCATTTCCTTTTGCACCAAAGACTTTGCAACATCGCTTTATGTTTTGATCACCTTCTCAGCGAACTCCAAACACCAAACTAATTGAATTTAAATATCGAGTTTACTGTTTTTAAACGATTTTTATTCATTTTTATGCGGTAGAATAAAATGCTTAGTTTAAGTAGATTCTGACGATTTTGTGAAACTGCAGGCTCGTTCAGTTTTTTTTACACGATTTTTATTCACTTTTACGCGGTAGAATAAAATGCTTAGTTTTAGTAAACTCTGGCCATTTTGTAAAACTGCAGGCTCGTTCAAATTTAAAAAAATTTTGTTTTCCGATTTTCATAACTTTACGTAACTAAATTGCTTCGAAGTCAGTTATTTCTTTAACAAGATTTTCCTTTCGTTCTCTATATCCAAAACTTCTACATACAGTCTTATAGCAATGTGCTTTGCGATACTTCAAAAGTAACGTTCCCTTGAGGGCTGAAAACAGATACATTGTCTTGTCGCAACAAT